ATTGATATCTTTTTTTATGCTAATCGATTGTCATAAGTGTTTCTTTCATAACAAATCATATTATATCTTTCATTCATTTAATCTACCGATTTATTTCTAACGAAACTATTATATCTTAATAGATTTTTTCATATTAACTGTTAATATCTGAGTTGGAAAATGTGGGCCCAAAGCTTAAACACCCCGCACAAAGCAGTTTAGCAAACAACAGAAAATCCACGAAACCAGGGTTTGCAGGTCCCCTAGACCCGACGCGGGCGGTCCGAGCTTGAAGACTTACCGAGACCAAAAGATTTATCGAATCTTTTAATGGCAACCGCAAAACCCCAATTATATCGAGAAACCAACTGGTGAGTCGTTTCACGAATATCCACGCTCGACGTGGCTAGGTGTGGTCAATGCCAGCTGGATCTCCTCAAAGTTGCCATTTCGGCGTCGCGCCTATCGTTCGCACCGTCGTTTCGTCTAGGCGGTATGACGTAGGAATCATATCTGGTCTACTGATACCAATTAACGTAACGAACTAGAGTAATTGAAAAAGAACTCTCGTTTTTTCTTATTTCTTAATCAAAATCAACCAACCCTAAACACTATGAAATATGAGTCTTAAATATCTCTCTTAAGAGACCCTGCATAAATTTACTAACTAAATAAAAAAATAAAATGCTTAAATAACAATAAAAATAAAAGTAATAAATAATTACACTAATAATGTCAAACGATCATGTTTGTCCAGAAAAGACAATTCAATGACCCAGGAGAACATTTATTTCCAATCTAATCTAGTATAATGGCAGGTAACTGAAGATAAAAAAATAGTCGGATCTTATCGAACTTCTTAATCTTGTACATTACAATCGAAATGAGACCAAAATGCAGTCAACTGTGTTTGAAAAGTTTGTGTTTGCAGCATTTCGGACAAGTAAATATTATGCTGCGTGTGTCAATTCCTAGTGAACTCTGACAAAGGAATAAACCCAAAAGCGAGTCACAAATCAAGGAACCTCCTAAAGAAACAGAGGATATGTAAAAGGCGAAACTACAAAAAGAGATTTTTTTACATACTTCTGAGAGTTAGTCGAATAAGTAGCTTTGTTTTTTCTTATACTTATAATTGAAATATGGAGAATGGGGTAATGGAAGGGGTTTGTGGAACTCCTAATTATATGTTAGTTTTACTTTCAGTTTTATTCATGAAAAATTTGCAGTACTAACAAATTGAATATGGCTATAGTGGTTTGACAAGCGCCTCGTTTTCCCTTTGCCATTAGTAAGAGGCTTCAGGTCGCAACTTAAATTATACGGAATCAAGCCACTCCCTTAAGGTAACAATTGCTTGTAGAAATCAGCATTTTCTTCCGATCTGAGGTTAAAAAGGGAAGTCTTCGTTCAGTGAACTCATACGTACACATGAAAAGAGAAAGA